TTAATCTTTTATCTGTATGTATTCTAGTTTTAGCCAGCACTATGAGTGTTACTTTACTTTGGTTGAATACCGTTAACGTAATATTCGAAATGCTTAACCATTAAGAAAAATAGACTGATTGAAGAACAATCTAAAAATACTCTACAATTCCCCAAAACAAAGACTGTAAAACAACACAAACTAAACTGTACATCACAGTACAAGTCAAATGTGGACTCCGCCAAAAAATTATTCTAAGTTAGATTCATGCTAGCAACATTAGCCAGAAAAGTGACATTTATGCCAATCTGAGGCTGTCTATTTAACAGTATTATCGTATTTAACAACAATCTCGTACATCTACCGACTAACCTCAATGTTAGGCCTAGACGTTTTCTACAAAATCTATCGTTAAATAGTTGAATAGAGTTGGGTATAGTTGTGAAGTTGTGAAACATATTAGTAATCATATTATCATCATTGGCCTACTCCATTCATGCTGCCAACTTTGATTATGTTTTTAGTCGTGTGACGTCATCATATTTTAATGTACATTTCAACTGGCTCTGTTATTCCTTATATACTAGTCTTGAATTGGAAATTAGCAATGTGCTTAAATTTTATATTTACACATGGATTTTTTTAATCACAACAACAAATTTGTGATATATAGATTATTGTAACAAGTTTCTGTTATTGATTGTTATTTTTAAATGATTATTGCATTATCAGTAATATCAGGCGGTTTCTCATTTCATGTATTTTACACGATGTATTTATTATCGCTAAATTAACCGTCTTGGATAATGCTGTATAATGTTTGGTACATTTACCGCACACGACGCGCCGTCGAATATTTTCAGCCGATAAACCAAATATGACGCACTGTGGTAGTAAGAAAATGTATATTTCTATAACGCGTATGTGTGGCCACTTCCGACGTCAAGAACAAACAATATTTCATTACAGCGTAATCTAGCACGTGTAAGAAAAGAACATCAACAGAATTATAGTATACTGTTTTGAGAACTTCAAGTTCGTTTTACTTATGCGAACATCCTGGGATATAGGTGCGTGGGGTTACGCATGCTAATGTATATGTGCGAGAAATGAAGTGCAATGGCAATACAATCAACATTTTTATCAGGTGGGTATGAATAATTGGGGTTTACATCACAACAGGCTAATCCTTGTTGCTCCACGTCTGCTTTCTGATAAGAATATCGGCGCCTTGGTGTGAAACAATAGCGGACAGTATTCAAACGACATTTTGCCAGGAACACTGTATCCAAGTGA